GAATTTCCTACATCAGTTTTTGATTTTTCCTCATAAATCATCTAGAAATGACTTGTTTTCTTATTCTTTATTCTTATCCCATACAATAACTCTCTCTACAGCATTCCTTCTCCATGTACTCCTCCTAGTCCCCACCACACTTCCCCTCTCCCCAGACCCACTGCTCTTCTGTTTCCCTTCCAAAGAGAGCAGGCCTCCCAGTGAGATCAACTGAACATGGCCTAACAAGACGCATTAAGACTAGGCATAAACCTTCATATCATTTTGGTTTTTCTGTGAAAGTATATCTCCTTCAGTTTTGAAAACAATGTTTTTATTGGGTCTCTCTCCTAGGCCACTGTTTCTTAGCCAGATAGCCATTCCTTCAGCACTCTACAGACGGCAGTGCCCTGTGTCTGGAGGGTGGTTTAGGAGAGAATGGTTCTGTCTTCTGGAGCTGCACACTTCATGAGAGTTTTCTTTTGGGGGCTCAATGCCTCCCCTTCTTTTGCCACCAGCAGTGGCCACTGATACTTTAGCCAAGGCACTGGTTTCTCATATTTTTATACTTCTTATTTGATTTTCTGATTTGATCTGTGGTTGGGTGCTAGTACCTAGTTCTGGAAAGCTCTAAGCCATTGTTTTTTCAAATATTTCTTTTGGCCTGTTACTCTATCTCTCCTAGTGAGGATGTTGACTATAGTCCTTTCAAGCCCTCCAGCGCTCCTGTCCATTTTTCAATTTTATATATTTTCTTTTCCAGCTTCACTTTCACTGCTTTCAAAAGGCCTTCTATGCTGCTGATCCCCTCCCACACCTGCTTCATATCAAGTCTTCTTGGGGGCCTCGAGGTTGTTCATCTCGGCAGGTTTCTTCCTCATTTCTAGCATTTCTGTCTCACTAATTCTGTAGGTTTTCAGTCTCTGCTGACAATTCCCTTATGACCATTTATCTTATCTTTTATATAAATCTTTATCTTTTTAACCATCAATATTTAAGCCACCCTCTTGCTCCTAATGCCAGTGTCGTGTCTGAGTGTGGTCCCTTGACGGTTTTGAGTTCTGGAGGTGTGTTATGGCATACCTTTTCTTATGTCCCCTGGTGCTGGACAACAGTCTAAGGTAAGTAAATTTTATGTCTACAAATGTCCATACCTTGCCTTTTATAAGACCATTTTCTTTCTTTTTCTGTTATTCCTTTATTGTGCATTATTAAGTTGATCTACTCAAGATGTTGGGATCTATCTCAGGTTTATTATGACTATTACCCTTAGTGTTCCAGAATCTTCTAGGATGCCTTGTGCTTGGGGGCAAAAGGGGGAGAGTCTCACGTGCTTAATGCTGCTTAATGAAACTTTAGGTCTTTGCTTTGCATACACTTTAGACTCTCTCTTTCTCTGCATCCTTGAAATTATTCTGGCCATACCTGTAGTTACTTTGTTTTATGCTCACTAGCCCGGGTTTCTAGTTTTCAAAACATGTGCTGTATCTTTTGGTCTCAGATAGACCCTCTTGACCTCTTACCTCCATACCTCAGTTATAGTTTTAGTTCTGGCACGTGTCTCTGATGTATCCTCAGGAGTATCCAGTTTTGTTTTCTGTTCACTCCTAGACTACAGTGGGTTTTTATCATTGTCCTCGGGTTAATAGTACAGGCTCTCCATCCCTTTCTATTTAGCTTTCACGTTCACAGTGAAAACAAGGGAGATCTGTGATGGTGTGAGTTTCTCCCACATGATTGATGCTTCTTTGCTCAGTCCTATACCAGTAAGCATGCCTTCCTGGATGCTTATTGGTCTTCTGGGGATAGAGAGGAATCTGTGGAGAAGAACAGCTTGCAGTAGAGATAAACTTTCCTCTGCATCCACCCCCTATGACTCTTCCTAATCCTCACACAGTTCCAGCCATCTGTTACTGCTATTTTTTTCCAGTATCCAGCCATATTTATATCAGGTAATTATTGCTCACAGCCCTACTGTTCTAGAAGGGCATCTCTCTCTGTTGATTTCTGGATGACGTTTCCAGTGACATCAGCTTTCTGATCCATTCCAGAAGTGTCCTATGTTCGCAGAGAACTCTCTATTCTTCTCTGCTGCCATAATATTGGGATCAAGTATCTTCCTACATCTCTGCATCCCTCATGGAGTTATAAAAGCTATCTAATTTCCATAAGGAATCAGACACGTAGGAAGAGATGTAGGAAGAGATTTGACCCCAAGATTATGACAACAGGTTCACGCTAGGATTGACAAAAAGCCACACATGCATTAATCTCATTCTTGAAGAGGAACACTTATGGCCTGGCACCTCTTCAAGTCCTCACCCCATTCTACTATTGCCTTGGCGATATATGAGCTTTGAAGGGGATACATTCAAGACACAGAAAATGTTGTTCTTAAGAATTGGAAAATTCTAATCTGCCCCAATCTGTCCCAATGAATTCTCAGCGCAACTCAATGCTCAGTGATCAACATGCCTTTTCATCATAATACTCCCTCTTCCCACCTTTATCTCTGTCTCTGTTTCTCTGTCTCTTTTATGTGGTGTGTGTGTGTGTGTGTGTGTGCGTGTGTGTGTGTGTGTGTGTGTGTGTGTGTGTGTGTGTGTGTGTGTTACGTGTTTTGGAAACCAGAAATCAATATTGGGTGTCATTCTCTATCACTGTCTAACTTATTTCTGAGAGAACATCTCACTGAACCCAGAACTCACCAACTCTTCAAGGGTAACTCTGGCCAACAAGTGCCAGGCAGGAATCCCCCTGTCTCCACCTTCCCAATGCTAAGATCATAGGCACCCTCTAACTGAGGTCCCCAAGCTTGCACAGTAGGTACTTTAGTGAGTGAGCAGTCTCCTCTACTCCCCTCTCCCACTTCTAGAACTGTAGTTGAGGGATGGAGACAAGAATTGCAGAGGTTACACCTGAAGATATCTTTTAACCAGTAATTGTCCCAAATTGCCTTCTCGGGCTTCTCAACCTTAAATTATTTAAGAAAAGATATTTTTCAGATACACAAAATATTTCCTCATATTATTACAGGTAAATGACAAGAGATAATGATCTTAAAGGAGAGAATATTAGCTTTATTATTATCCCATTGATTCTGACTTCCACAGTTGAAGAGGAAGAATTATCTGTCTCATGTGGTATGTCCTTCTAACAGCTGCTCAGTATTGGTGCTGCGGGTCGCAGGAATATATCATAAGAACTCAGCTGGTTATGGCAAAGTCACTACCTGGAGGAATCAGGGAATTCCTCCAGAGGAAGCCAAATCCCAAGGAGTTTTTGGTGTTACTTGGCTTGTTATATATCAGCTGTATTCTGTTATGAAAATCATGTGTGCCTTCATAGTTTTCCCAATTGATTTTCCCTAAGAAGGGCTAACAATGTGGACTGATCACTCTCTAGACATACACATTCCAGGCATTTGGAGAACAGCCTCAGGAAAGGGTTTCTCTGGAATCAGATAACTCCCCTAGCCACTTTCAAGGACTAAAGGAGACATCACCCAGGTGGTCACCCAATTTTCGAGGATTAACAGTGATAACAACCCACAGGCGAGTCTCTTGACTTAAGGTAAATTCCACAAGGAGACACCGCCTAGGTCAGGTAGACATTAAGTAATAGCTTTACACAATTTAGCTCAGACCCCTCCTTCTTACAGCCTTACTAACTTTATAGACCTCTAACTACTTACCTAACCACTTCTAGGAATATTTAGATAACCTTCTGTGCTAACAGCTATGCTCAGCCAGAACCCCAGTTCAAGCCTCCCTGTAATTATCATTATTGGTAGCATCCGGCCAGGTCCATCACCAGATGGAGGAAAGTACCTTATCAGAGATACCTCTGTACTCTCTAGAATAGACTTAAGCATCCAGGCTACCTGTTTGAGAAGGCCTGGCGGATGTGCCAATTAAGCCTTACTTCCTCTTTTCCCAAACCTTACCGCCAGTTCCAGATCACCCTTTAACTATCACCAGAGGCATCTAGCTGTACACAGGTTGCCCAGCGACTGAGCACACTTTCCCCAACCCTGCAGAAAAACGGCAGATAGCTTGGACAGATAGGAGCTACAGGAAAAAAGAAGACAGTTTTATTTTCTCCCATTGACCTAGCAGCTTATAAATTCTTCACTTTCTACCAACCACGTTTAAGATTATAGTTGAGCACATAAGAGCCCTCTTCTTAGATATTACCTGAATTTAGCCTTTAGTTAATTCATTTCCCCATTGGTCACTTCCCTTTGGGGTTGCAAGTGATAATTAACGGTTATTGCTTCCCTATGTGATTCTTATCACCCCTCCATTTGAGCCTGGAAGCCTGGTTTTGCACTGCTAAGGGAATACTGCTTGTACGTGTGTATATACCAGAACTCCCAGGGCACGAGAGGACAGAGAGGAGAGAAGAGAATGGAAGAACTAGATGGGTAAGAACTTGAGAGGAACGAACTGAATGGGGAAGAACTAGATTGAAGGGCTAGAAGAGAGGACAAGAGGAACTAGATGGAAGATGAGGAAGAGCCAGATGGGGAAGAACAAGATGAGGAAGAGCCAGATGAGAAAGAAGGAGATGGGAGAGGAGCTGATAGGGGAAAGAACTAGATAGATGAGAACCTAGAAGGAAAGGAGACGGGAGAGGAGCTGATAGGAGAAAGAACTAGATAGATGAGAACCTAGAAGGGACAGAACTAGATGAAGGAATTAAGATAGAACATAGAGGGGATCGCAGACAAGTGTAGAGAGAAATCAGGCTAGAGATGACCTAAATATGAGAGCAGAATATAAGCTTGTAACTGTCACAGAATAATAAAGTATATGGACTAAGGAGTTTCGTGTACATAGATTCATTTCTTCTCATCAAAGGTTAATTATCAGCTGGTTGTAGATTCTTCCCGGACCCTGGGAGGGGACTATTGAGGGGCTGGACCCCCATAGTCCTCGAAATATTGGTACTATTAGGAGAACAAGTCTTTGAACCATTTGCACTTGATGGATTCACAGATACACACATGAAATAAAGTATTGGCAAATAGGGTAATCTAGTTTAATGTTTATCCTAATTGCTGTCATCATGGGGGGCATGCCTTAAGAATGTTCCTGTTGATGCTCATCTTCTCTCAGAACATCCCAACCTCTCCAGACAGTTGAGGATAAGGATAGGAGTTCTTTGTATTCGTTTTGTGCTCTGTGGAAGAAGATGTTATAAATAAGCATGTTAAAAATAGCTTTAATGACAATGGACATTCAAGGTTTAACAGCTTTCCCTTCTCCTAACATCTTGCAAAAGATAGAATACTGCATGGTAGACTCAATGACATGCCCCAGAGCATTTGAATTTTTAAAATATGGTCTTTGGATAAAAAAGAGTCATTCTTGGAGTGTGGTATTTAAAGGTCATCAGGAAAACATCTCCCTGGCACACGGTGTCAGTGGCAACTTCCTGTTATACCAACTGATGGGGGTGCATTGTTAGAAGCATTGTGTGACAAATGGAAATAAGGATGTTTGTCATCAAATATTTTCTGCTGCTTGTACAAATAGAGGAGATAAGGCTCATGATATTTATTCTTCTGTCTGCTGATGCATTTGAATGTTTCTATCAGAGTCTCATCTTTACAGAGGTCTCTCCTATGGAAATATAACAACCTCAAGTGCCATTTTTAGCCACTGTGAAGGTAAATGTGAATTTTTGCTGATAACATCAATAATATTAATGAAATATTCTTCTAGTACTGAGGTAGAAGTGACAAGGAAAAAATTGAAAAAAAAATAAAGTAGCTGCATAACAGGATCATATGTGATTATGTTTTTCTCTGGGCCTCCAGATGACATGGGTTAGCTCTTACAAAGTCATCTGTAGTTATCTGGGAATTCTAGCCATATCTCAAAAGAAAGGGCCATTCCTGAATGGAGTTAAGGTACATTAAAAGATAAACATTTTCAGTTTATCTTCCTGAATTCAAAATGTGTAAGTTTTACTTTACAAATAATACATTTATTTTTCCAAACAAAATTAGGTCTGAACAGGAAGGAGGTAAGATTTCTCATTTCAGAAAGGCAGCCAAAACAGTCAAAAGAGTAATTTTTTTCTCTATGATGCAAAATGACCTGTCCAATTTCTCTGTATTAAAATAGGACCATTTGTAATATGAATCATTTAAAGTGTATTTTGATTGTTAAGGACAGTTTCAATTCTGAAAACTTTACTGTTCAATTACAATCCAAATGCTGTTTGCTATCGCATGATTTGATACTATTTCATATTTCAAATTTGACATTTCTCCTAACACACATTTCTGTTCTTAACTTGTTTGCAAATATAGTAAGAGAAACTGACTGAAATATTTGGGGTCCTGGCTAACTTTGCCAAAGATTTGTAGCAAATGCACAGTTTAATTAACAGTTAAATGAAAGTCGTTATCTTAATTTACTTGCTGGTAGTTTTTAGAGTGAACCTTCCTATGGCTCATATCTCTGGAGGCTGGGGAGTTCAAGAGAACTATGATGATTTCTGGTGGAGCCTTTGTGTTACATAATCCCATGACAGAGTGTGAAGAGCTAATAAGTGCACAGATGGGGAAAGAAGGGGATCAAACCTATCCTTGTATCAGGAGGCCACTCCCATGATGAGGAATCTGATCCCTCTTCAATGGCATGAATCAGTGCACATGAGCAAGTTCTGCCTGCCCTCATCACTTAATCACTTCTTAAAGATGTGACCACTTGCTGCCATCACAGGTGGCTTCAACATAGAGAAGGCATTCAAACAAGAACAGGAATATTTTAAGAGGTGTGACCTGGACATATGGAATCAATCGGGTTGACAAAGTACCTTACATGAAGCCATTGCCACTCACAGGATGGAAGGCATAATGATGGGTCTGGACTGTTTGAAGAATCTGGGGACATTTTGGAGCTGAGGTCTATTAGGACCTCAACCCAGTACTCATTGCTGCCAGAAACATGGACAGGAAGAGCTGAGAAAGGGAAGTGACACTCCAACTTGTTTTTAATTCAGTCAAAGGCCACAAAGCCAGGAACCTAAGTAATTCTGTTGGTAGATGCCAGTTGGTGCCATTGGGTCACCATGGATCCTGACCTCTGTTTCCCATCATGTTCTCTGGCTCACACAGCCACCACCTCTGGAGACATGTGGGGGACTTGTTGCTGTTATCTCTGCACATGCTTCTCATTCTGATGTCACGACTCCTGCTGTCTCATGTATTTCCAACCCGTTTGTCTCAGTGTGACTCTAAAGGGTTCTCAGACCTTATTGCACCTTTTCCCACGTGCACTTTCATCCCTATCTGTGAGTCCTACTGTCATCACTTACTTATTTTACAAATATTTCCAATGCCCTTTCTGTCTTGTATATTAAAAACTACACCCTGGTTGAACCTAAATGTCTCCAATCTTTACACCTGCATTGGTCCATCTGAACACTGTTGGGAGAATTATCACTTAGTCCAGGTAACTGGTTTAAATTTGTGGAAATGGCTGGGGGGTGGCGACAGCACACACCTTTAATCCCAGCACTCGGGAGGCAGAGGCGAGGTGAATCTCTGTGTGTTCGAGGCTAGGCTGGTCTACAGAGCAAGTTCCTGGACAGCCAGGGCTGTTAAACAGAGACACCCATCTTGAAAAACAAAATTGTGAAAATGACCATAAACTTCAAATAGATACTCAAATGAACTAAAAAAAAAAAAAAAAAAAAAAAACCACCAATAATAGCCGAGTAACAAAGACTCTTACTGATCTCATGTACCAAGAAATCCAGAGGTGGGCAGCTCATCTATGTTGCAGTACTGGTTTGAGCTCTTGGTCTTTCACATATGGCTGCAGGACAAGGCCACACTGACAGCACAGCAGTGTCACAGCCACAGACAGAATGCAGGACATTCTGCTGTGGAAAGCCGCCTTCCTCCCGCTGTCCCTGATATGCTGGAGAGAAAAAATGTTTCTTTTGAAGATGCATTGTCCAAAACTGGGCTTCCGTCAATGCTGGACTTGAGTCTACCTCCCCCCAAACCAGATCTTCACCAACCTGAGACATGAAATAGTGGTCAGTTAGTGAGGACATGTGGATGACACATACTCAGGGAAGACAAACGTCTGGTGGAAATCCATTGTGCTCCTTCCATGTCAGATGCACCCACATCAGCACATACACTGGGATTGAACTCTGGCAATGTTATAAGAGAGTGTAACAGCTAAAGCAAGACGGGAAAAATCAGGGATTTGGGGAACCATGATGGTGCATTATCATAGACGCTATAGAGAATAAGGAGAAATTCTGTCATAGACTCTAACTCTAGAGAGTTATCCATCCTTGCAGGAAACCTTAGTTACAAGTCTATACATTTCCCATGCTTTTGTCCTCCATTCAAAAGCAATACATTCATTTCTCATTCTGATGAGATCTCTCTCTCTCTCTCTCTCTCTCTCTCGAGTATTGGTGATTGAATCCATGGTATCACATATGCTAAACAAGCTGAGATACACCCCAAGCCCCATATAGTTTGGCTGGTTCATTTAAAGTACACAGCACACACACACAGAAGTTCCATATGGAGTATCTGTGAAAGCATTTGTTGATTTTTACTGTTTGTTACAGAAGGCAGTGAAAATCTTACATTTTGTTACACGATATGTATTATTTTATTTATCTAGTATATGACTAAGGGTATAAAATATCTTGTTAAAATCAATGACATGGAGAAAAGATAGCAGAATCCCTTTAAATGCTAGACTGAGACTCACTCATCCATTTCCAGTGGCATGTACACTATCACTGCTACCCCTCTGTCCTAAACGTTTCCCAAACTACAATTCTTATTGAACTAAAGATGAGGCTAAAGGAAAGTCTATTGTCCCCAGAGGCCCCTCAAGTGAGGGGGTGGATCATATCAGAGTGTGCCATCAAAGAGAAGACCTGTCATTTCTTGCAATAAGTGAATATCAAGTAGAAGTTACTTCCTCTCATGGCAAAGATTTGTAACGCAGAATTACATTGATCCATGTGCTGTGTCAGTGGCAGCAGTGAAATTCATAGTATTTTTATGTGAAATACACTGTTTTATTGCATTAATTCACATTTAATGTGTACACAGTAATAACCATAAAGTATGATAACCAAAGTTATATATTTTCTTCAGAACATTCATTTACAGAGCTTTCAAAGGAGTCTGAGGAAATTAAAATATCAGTCAGTTTACCTGCAGGATATAGAGCAAAAGCAGAAAGCGATATAATATCTTTTACAAGCCACCCATTCCTCCCCACATAATGTCCTTACTTCTGGCTGATAAAATACAATAGTCATAACAGTGTACATATTTTTTAACTATGATACACAAAACAAAGGTTTTTGAAGGGAAGGAAAATATACCTCCATCAGTAAAATTGTATTACACACATGATTACAAGCAGGAGGATTGAGGCGAGGAGCAGCGAAGGCTGCAGTCCCCAGGTCCCTTTCCTGGTAACGGTCCATAGAAAGATGGCGCCCATAAAAGCTGAAGTCTCGTATAAGAGGTAGTGGAGGCCCAAGGGATGGTAGGAAATAACAAATGAACAATTGCCCAGAAAACAGAACAGGAATGAAAAATCTTGGTCATATTGAGGGCCGAGAAAATAAAACAACTGAGTGGACTATAATGTTCTAAAAGCTGTGACAGAGAAACCAAGAAATGGGTGATTTAAAGTCAGTGAACACAGAATGGGTCTAGTAATACAGAACATTACCATCCTTTTTGTAAGTATTTTTAAGAAAGATTTATTTTTTTTATTTATGTATATATGTGTGTGAGGGAGTTGGATATATCATGTGTGTTCTGCTGCCTGTGGAGGCCAGAAAAGGGTGGATCCTTGGTGCTAGAGTCACAGGAGGTTCTGAACCATCTGATGCAGGTGCTTAGAACTGAACTCTGGTCCTCTACAAGAGTAGTGAGAACAGCAAGAGATCTTAACCAGAGACCCATTTCTCTTGCCCCTCTTACAAGTTGTCTGGATGCCAAATATTCTACTCTAGTATGCAAACAAATTTAGTATTAAATTAAGGCATAATTTGAGACCAAATTCCTATTTGCATCCTTTAAGAAGGCTCCATGAACTGTGCAGCACTGCTGATTTTCCCTTCATTGAATCCCATTTGGTTTCATGTCACTTATGTAGTTTATTGATTGATTCATGTTTTTGTGTATTTAGTTTTTATGAGAAATTTTCTACATAGATAGATGGAAGATAGATATGAATTTATCAATGAATCCTGTTTAAGTAGAAACATAAGCAGCAACAATGTACCTACACTTTGGTATTTTTTTCATTGCTTTCAAACATTTTAAAGAACGCTAGTGATATGCAAGTGACTTTGTACATTTCTCCAAAAAAAAAAAAAAAGATGCATGAAGTCAGGAGTAATGCCTCTCCTTTACTATAACTGTAGACTGTGGTTAAGGATGTTTCTTCATCAGCCTAAATCTTCATTTTTTTTCTGTTTTATTTTATCTTTTTATTTAGTCTTCTTTATTATAAGGCATCCTGACCACAGCCTCTCCTTCTTCCACTCCTCCCAGCTCCCCCCTCCCTACTTCCCCTGGATCCACTGCTCCTCTATTTCCCTTGAGAAAAAAGTAGGCCTCCCATTGATACCAAGCAAACACAGCATAACAAGATGCAATAAGACTAGGTTCAAGGCTGAATTAGGCAACCTAGTAGGAGAAAAAGGGTTCCAAGAGCAGTCAAAAGAGTCAGAGACACTCCCAATCCCACTGTTAGGAGTCCCACAAAATTCCCTAAGCTAAACAACCACAGTATGTATGCAGGTGACCTAGTGTAGACCCATGCAGGCTCCCTGGTTGTCCTGTCAGTCTTTGTGAGTGTCTATGAGCCCTTCTTAGTTTATTCTGTGGGCCACGTTCTTATGGTGTCCTTGACTCCTCTGGTTCCTACAATCCTTCTTTCCACTCTTCCCTCTTCTGTGGGATTCCCTGAGCACCACCTAATGTTTGGATGTAGGTTGGCTGGGGGTTTCTGCACCTGCTCTTGTCAGCTGACAGAAGAAACCTCTTCAATGATAAGTGGGCTAGACACCAGTTTATGAGTATAGCAGAATACCGTTAGGAATAATTTCATTGTCTTTTTCTGGCGGTTGTGTTTGGTTCTACCCTAGGCCTCCGAGCTATCAAGGGAGTGTTGAGCATGGGCTTTCTCTCTTTCTCTTCTCTTCTCTTCTCTTCTCTTCTCTTCTCTTCTCTTCTCTTCTCTTCTCTTCTCTTCTCTTCTCTTCTCTTCTCTTCTCTTCTCTTCTCTTCT